TCAGACTTGTTGAATTTTCTCCTAGTTATTCGTAATGTATCTGAATCTCTTTGCAGGGGTCAAAAACAGAATCCTCTTCGGAAGAGAATAGATAGTTATGACTACATTGTGAAGCAACATGTTGTTGGATCGCTAATTTTTACACCACTATTACTTCTTTTACCCACGACTTCCGTCTTCTATGTCTTCTTTACCATTCTGAATACATCTATCAGCTTCATCAAATTGCTAATTGAAGTTATAATTTCCGCTATTCATGCTACACCCTATGCCAAAATTTACCTTTGGTTGGTGAAGCGGAAAAGATTTCCGTCTGGGATATGGTTTGAAATCATTTCTTGTCACATTAATTCCACGGACTGTCCAGACAAAAACTTCTCTGAAAGCTTCGATTTACCGACTAAGATCTTGGAGCGGAGCGAGGAGGTGGTTGTGGGAAGATCTTCAGTTTTGGTTTCATGCCTTCACAGCAACTTAATGGGCATAGGTCAGTTCTCTATCATAAACTGGACTTTTTGGTGATCCTAAGAGATGAGAAACATAGGCAGGCTGATTTTTTAACTGTGTGCATAAGATAAAAAGATCCTCTCAATATAACTATTTATAGAGATCTTATTGTACTTATTTCAGAGTAAATTCTGCTTGTGTGAACATTGTATGGTTATTTTTATTCTTATAAATATAGTTTTCTTTCATTACATATGGATTCTCAGTTTTAAACAAGTGAAGAAAAGGCTCTCAGTTAAGTCCTTTAATTTTAAAAAGTTTTGACTACAGCCTTTAGCAGATCAACAACTATCAAAACATGTAGTTGCCACATCAAGTTATGGCAAGGGGCTACTTTGAAATAATTCAGAAGTTATCTGATGAATGAGAAAGAATACATTGAAATACCTTAGGCAATGTTTACAAAATATGTTTCATTCTTTTATTTGATAATATGATACTGTGATGTTAGGAGAACTGGTCCTGCCTCACTACAGAAATATTTTCTCTGGCTTCTCCCAGTCGGTACTAGCTTCTACTTTTCACGGAGTACTGACAGGAACAAGGTAAATAAACTGCTTCTATTCATTGAGTTACACATCTTACTCCAACCCAGGTTTAAAATGCTGATCTTGATAGAAATGTCAAAGTCTCGACTTTATGAAAATGACAAAGTTTCGATTTTATGGAAATGTTGATGGAGATATTGATAAAATGGCGATGTGAATAGATATTATACTATGATTTTAACAACAAAAAAATTAAAAAAAAAAAAGTAATTAACAAATGGACATTTTACAAATGAGTTAAAATACTTATTATTAGTATTATATTTATATTAGTTACATTTTGTTGCTACTTTTTTAATGTTCATATCGATTCACACTCCTTGGACATGTGGTAATATCGGTAGAAATTTAATACTATGGATGATTTAACTACTACCTGTCTTGCTTCTGCAGAACGACATCGACACTGAAGGCTGGCCTTCCTTCACCGTTGCCATGGATGTGTATACCATACAGAAAGTATTGGCATCTATGCCATGATTCCATACTCACATGCAGGCAGCTGCCGCCTTGTGCTTCATGATCTGAGCATGCTAAATCCTAGTTTTTAGAATTTCTTTTGTTGAAGTCGAAGCTTGGAATCCGAATGGTCATTGGGGTATGTCTAAAATACAGAGGGTATCAAGTTGCTTGGAATGCGCTCAGATTTCTCCTTGTATTGGCCTTATGCTTTATCTTTTGGACGCTGACAACGAGCAATGGTATGATTCAGGAGCTGCAGGTTCCTACTCACTTTATCTTCCACCTCTAATTTTTTGTTATTACTTTCATTCTGACTGTCACCGTTATAAAATTTATTTACCCTCATAGATTTAGGGCTCTTTATTCATGGATTTGATGAACTTCTTATGTAGCTGGATTTGTATAGGTTGTATTCACATATTGAATAGAAAAATTAGTTTAAAAGTCTAGATTTGTATGGTTGGCGTTTGGTCTGTTGGTATGTTAATAAGCACGGACAAATTTTGGCTAGCACTCGTCTGTTCGGTACTAGATGTTGGACACTTACTAAACGACACTAGTTGTACAAAGTTAATATATAGTTGTACAAAGTACTCATCAAGCAAATTAAATGAACACATGATACTATAAGAAACATATATATGTACTTTTTGTGTATGAAATACATTTTTAAGCATATAAATGCATAAAATTTAATCTATTAACTTTGAAGGTTCTTATATAAAAATGATGTATATTTTAATAAACATGACAGTATATGATGTGTTCGTTTCATATCATTGTGTTCAAGTTATGTCTCTCTCCACACATCGTCACTCCAAAACCCTAAATTCTAATTTGGTCTCTAAAACGATTCAGTTTAGTCTTAAAATTGATTTGATAATGGTCACGTTTATTTAACTCAAGATTCTTTCCAGAAAGAAAAATAAGAACAAAAATTAATTAAACAAATTGGAGTGGACACTATCAAAGACATAGACAACATGTACCAAAGTCGACATACATTATTTTAATGTTGAGTTCATCAATTATTATTAACAAATTAATCTAATAAGTAGTATATACTATTGAAGAACATAATTAAGAATATTGGGTAAAAATGAATTTATACTTACCTTATCCCCACACAAGTTATCTCTCTCTTTCTTCTCATTTTTCCTTTCCTGTTTGTGCCAACTGTCGTGTGGTGAGCATCCAGCATGCTCACACCACACCACATTCGCTCGCCTAAGCACCGCCTGTTGTCGCCAAACAGTCCACCTTGGCACCGCATTGACGCCGCTCGCCGCTTAACCACAGAGGATGAGGCTCCGTACGGGAGCCAGCAGCTTACATGCACGTCTGCCACCGCTCTGCACGTCATTGACTGCCTTGCTTCGGCGTCACCTTGTGTGGGGCTTTCATCCAATCAAGGACACTAAATTTTTGGAGGTTGAACGTGCTGCCCAACAAGATTTATCAACCTTTTTAGATGAATTAGGATAGAACCCCACTGGTCTTTATGATTTCCATTTTGATTAACATCAAATTATCAACATGTAATTACACTTGTGTTGCCGATGATGAGATAAACTAGGCCTCATGAAAATTAGTTGCCCATTCTTAAGCAAACCAGAGACCCATTTGAAACAGAGTGGTAGGCATGTTTGATCAGAAGAGAAATTAATGATAACCTTCACTCTGAAGCTGAAGATGAAGAAAGGAAGTGCAGGTCTGTGCGAGGCATTTCATCAAACAGGTAAGGAGCATAAAGTGCAGTGGAAATTATCCACGATTCACATAACTCTGCATCTTATCTCAATCGGGAAAATTGATTTTTAACGCACTAATTCAAACATAAATTCATCCCAAAATCTCAATAAACACAGAAGAAAGAACGCAGATACTTCTATCATTTAACCCTAAACCTCCAAACCACCCAAACATCTGAAATTCCACGCACAAAACCAGTGGTTTCTTCCATCACAGCCCACATTTCAGATTCAAAAGTCAAAAAGAAGAAACAAAAATAAAAAGAGAGGAGCAAAATAAAAGAGTATATTAGTTCTGTCAGACCGCTATGCGGCCATCCCAGGCAGGGATAACCCTACCCGAGAACGATCATCTACAGCCGCCCGGACCAAGGGTCCGTAAACCGTTAGTCACGCTCTAGCCGCACAGCAGTGGTTCATCCACCAGACTTAGGTTCTTGTCTCCTTAGAACTCAAGGACACAGTTGTACAACCTATAGAACAGATCCTGTTCAAGTAAGGTCGTGACCAAATGCCTTCATCTTTTTACTTAAATACGCTTTCTCTTATTTGCCAATTTTCGATGTGGGATATCTGACATGCTGACTTCGGCCAAATTTACAACCCTAAATACCCATCAAATCAGTTCATTTAGTTTAGAAATTCACAATTGTCAACTAATAATATATCTTTATTTTTTTATGATATATATATTTTTTTCCATAAACACCACTTTTTTTTTCTTTTTTTTTTTTGTTTTTTTTTTTGTTTTAATTGTTCACTGTATTTCATTTTATTTTTATTTTAGATTAAATTCTAATTCTTCTTATTCCGAAAAGGCTTGAACTCGTTTGACGTCTTATAGTTTAATAAAATCTATTATATTAAATTATAAAACTAATCGATGAGATTTTATTAAACTTCAAGATATAAGCAATTTTCTAATTTAACCTATCTTTCATGTGAGAGTTTTTTTTTTTTTTAAAAATTAATTGATTTTAAAAATATATAACCACTTTGCATTACTTTTATCTATATATTTTGTTTTCACGATCAAATTAACAATATATCTTAACCAATTGAACTATACTCAACTTGATATTAAATCTACTAGACCAAATGTCACAACGTCACAACGAATGTTCGAAATGTGTTTACTAGTATGATCTAGAAAATTGAGAAGGGGATGGATTTCCATTTTCAAGTGAAAGATGTTGGTTTAAGTCATGCCTACAAACGGAAGATGATCTAAATAAGTCATGCAAAGAAGCACGTAAGATTGGAAAGTAGTTCCACAATCTTGTACGCGTTTAATATGCGTAGTAAAAAATCTGACACGAAATCTAGATGTAACAATCCAAATCCATTGCTAGCAAATATTGTCCGCTTTGACCTATTAAATATCACCGTCCGCCTCACGATTTTTAAAACGCGTTTGTTGGAAAGAAGTTTCCACAGACATTTTAAGGAATCATTGATTCCCCTCTCCAACCGATGTGGGATCTCACAATCCACCTCCTTTGGGGGCTCAACGTCCTCGCTGGTACACTGTGCGGTGTCTGGCTCTCATACCATTGGCTTGAGCTGTTACAAATAGTATTAGAGTCAATCATTGCAAGGTACTAGTCGGAGTAGGACTGACCCTCTCCATAATAGATGCATTTTAAATCGTGAGACTGACGACAATGCATAACGGATTAAAACAGATAACAATATTTGTGCAAAGATCAGATATCAAGCGGACACCAAGAGTATACACTGATAGGTAAGTTTTGAAGAACTTCTGTTCTATGATAAACTATATAAGGTGTGAACTAAGAACAACATGCTAAGGAGATGGTGGCTAATAAGTTATAGCAAATTCATAAACTTATGAACAAGTTCATCAGTATGATTAGCTTACAACAAAGAACTCTACATTCATCTTAGTCTCTATCCTTTACGAGATTTCCAATCATGTTTACCAAAGACGGAGTTCCTTTTGCCATGATTTCAACTCGAGAAGCATTCGATGCGTGAGAGAATAAGGAAAGTCCAAAGAGTATCAGCTCGGGAAGAAACAGTCGAGACGACAAGAAACCGTGCCAATAACGAGGTTCAAGATCGAAAAATGCATCAAAAAACCTTCTTGTTCCCTTTAGATCAAGCTTCAACAAGATATCCATCCCGAAACAGAAAAACTCCCTCTGTCTCCTCCGTTCGATAGGCCATAAATCTCTCCAAACTTCAGACGATATCTCGTCTCCCCTGAAACGTCCATCCGAACGAAGACACCGAACTATTGCACTGGCAACAATAGGTGCTGCTGCTAGAGTTCTTGCTACCATATATCCCGTCGAAGGGTGCACCATCCCCGCCGTTCCTCCGATTCCAACGACTCTTTGAGGAAGAACGGGCAGTTGTCCACCCATTGGAATGACACAGTGCTCATCTTCTTCAATGCTCTTCACTTTTATGCCTAAGTGCTTCAATCTTGCATCCATTCTTTCCTGGATATCACTCATCTGTAGTCCCGGTCGAGCTACCAAAGAAGTTTCTTCGAGAAATATTCGATTCGACGAAAAGGGCATTGCATAGAGAAACGTGGGAATTTTGCTATTTCTCTCCTTCAAAACCATATTGTTATCCAAATGTGAATCCCTCCAGTCCATAAACACCATCTTGTCAACGTCAAACGGATGTTCCTCGACCTCGGCTAAAATCCCATATGCTACTTGGTAGCCTGGATTGTAAGGCTCATCGTATCGAACGAGGCATCGAGAGAAGCCAGTAGCATCAAGAACAATGGCAGCTTGAATGGTCACACCATCATTACAAATTAGCAAAGATTTAAACTCCTCATGTATAACTTTAACAACTTTAGCTTCATGAAACTTAACACCATTGGCAATGCACTTTTGCAAAATTTTTGACTTAAGCTGCTTTCTATTAACCCTCCCATAAGGTCGACCAAGATCTTTCGTCGATTGTTCATTCATGAACACGACAGCACCAGACCATGTCGTGTCGAGGCAGTCGAGCAAATCCATTGCCTCAAACTCATCCACCCAAACTCCATAATTGTTAGGCCAAATCAACTTGGGAGATGGATCAATTGAACAAACTGAAAGCCCTGCCTCTGAAACCTGCTGTGCAACAGCAAGCCCTGCAGGGCCACCTCCCACAACTGCAAGATCGACGACGAGGCCTCTCGACGGATCGTACATGGGAAGCTCAACCTCAAGAGTCTCCTTCTTGGCCTCAGGAACAAGCTCCAAAAGAGCACTGCTTCTCACATTGACACAACCCCCTTTTTTCCTTTGAATCTTATGAAACTTTGTACTCCTCAAACCATTCAATTTTTCAGAAACCCCATGTAATGGTTGCATAAAACCATATTTGGTATTGATTTTAAGCAAAGAATCCATGGTTTTCACTCCCAAAACCCTAGACAAAACACACTAAACAGAGCAACCACAAGCAGAATTTTCAAGGAATCCCCACAGAAACCCAATATCCAGAAATCTCACGCAAGTATAAGCTCAAGAACTGAACAAGAATCAGGATAAATTCAATGGAAATCGGTGTTAAAGATTAAGAGGCGTGTGTTTTGAGGCGAACCTGAGGAGGCGGAAGGAGCTCCATTTGGTTCCAGTGGATTGGAGAGATGTGGAATGCGTGTGGCCAGTGCCCAATTGATGAACTGACGCTGCCGTCCACTCTTCTCCAAGAGATGGAAATTAGAGGAATTGGAGAAGATTGGGGATTTGGGCGTGTCCCCACTTGGGGCATGGCCCCGTACTTGCCAATTAATGGTGGTGACAATTGGCGTGAACATCGCTCGCTCAATTCGATGTCTCCATTGCTTTTAAAAAGAGTTTGATAATGGTGGCTGTTCTAGTTTTAGATTTAGTGTACTGTCCAAGATGAAGCGGTGAAAAGTAAACCAGACAAGACACACAATAAAAATTAACTAATCTCACTTTTCCTAATAGAAAACTTTCATGATTGTACGACACTCGCTTCTATGTAGAGTGGCACTCACTTCGTGACATAAGATGGTGTTGCTTAAGGTGGCATAACAACTTATGCTCAAGCTTATAGTCCCATTTGAGGAGAATAATTTTAGAAAATAGGATCAAAGAGATTTTTGAAAAGTAGTTTCGGAAGGCTGAAAAAAAAGAAGGAAAACAAAGTTATATGGCTCCAAACAAAAAACATTGATTGACGGCCGACAAAAGGCAACACAACATACTTAAATAATATATAAATTTTTGGGTAAGGAAGAATTTGACATATAGTCGCATTCCTGTTTTAGTTGAGCAATTCAGGTTTAGTAGGCCTAGATGTGATTTGCCGACCAGTCTTATAAAATCTAAGTGAGAGGAGTTGACGACGGGTTGCATCCTTATAGTAGTACATTATGTGGCATTTCATGTCTACCAAGCAAGCGTAGACATGGTTCTGTCGAACCGTCATACACTTAGAAAATACAATATGGAAACTATACATCATGAAAGTAGTAAAGGAGAGCAATAAAGTAATGATTGCATACATTTTTATGGCAAATATTATACGTTGGGGGTATCATTTAAGTAACCTATTAAGATGAAATTATTAAGATGTAATTGTAGCTGGTGTTGCCGATGATGACATGAAGTAGCCTTCATTGGGTTAGAAGCAAAAGCTCTCAACTGCCTCATGAATATTGGTTGCCCATTGTTTAGCAAACCCAGAGAGAGACCCATTTGAACCAGAGTGGTGGCATGTTTGAGCAGAAGAGAATTTAATGATAACCTTCACTCTGAAGAAGAAGATGAAGAAAGGAAGTGCAGCAGGTCTGTGTGAGGCATTTCATCAAACAGGTAAGGAGCATCAAGTGGAGTGGAAACTATCCACGACTCCCTTAACTCTGCATCTTATCTCAATCCGGAAAATGATTTAAATTTAACGCAGTAATTCAACACATAATAAATTCATCCCAAAATCTCAATAAACACAGACGAAAGAAGAACGCCGATACTTCTGATCATTCAACCCTAAACCTCCAAACCACCCAGGTAAGGAGCATGAAGTGGAGTGGAGTAGTTCAAACATAAATTCATCCCAAAATTTCACCTCCAAACCACCCAAATCCATCACAGCCCACATTCCTGATTCAAAAAGCAAAAAGAAAAAACGAAAAAAAAGAAGGATTTAGCGTCTGTCAGACAGCCATGCGACCATCCTAGGCAGGGCGAACCCTACCCGAGAACGATCATCTAGGGCTCGTAAAGCCGTTAGTCACGCTCTAGTCGCACAGCAGTGGTTCATCCACCAGAGTATGGTTCTTGTCTCCTTAGAACTCAAGGACACAGTTGTACAACCTATAGAACAGATCCTGTTCAAGTAAGGTCGTGCTCTGGTGCCTTCATCTCCTAACTTAAATAAGCTTACTCATATTTGCCAATTTCCAATGTGGGATATCCTGACTTAGTGGCTTGGGCCAAATCAGCAGCCGTAAATACCCATCAAATCAGCCCATTTAGTTTAGAATATTTTTATTTATTTAGCTTAAATATAATGAACTCTCAATATCCATTTAAAACAGACGCATTGCCATTAAGTTAAGCGCATACATACCTGTTCTCTCTTTCTTCCTAAGTCTCCAAATCCTCCAACTCCAATTTCGGCTACCAACTGGTCAATTGAATTCGTTTTCAGACCTTTTTCTGTACGATCCATAAACCCGGGAAGAATCGATCTTAACCCACTCCACCAGACACCATCAAATGCTCAAACTTCTTTCTCTCCGGCGATCCCTTCATCTCCACCACCGCCGCCCCCAATTTCCACCCACCGTCGCCATTTCAAAACCCCCTTTAAATCCCACTCGCCAATTTTCCACTGTTTCTCCTCCACCGCCGTCGTCCTCTTCCGAGTCCGAGCTCCGCAAGTACCTTGGCTATGGCGCCCTAGTCATTTTCTGCGGCGCCACCACTTACTACTCCTTCCCTTTCCCCGAAAACGCCAAGCACAAGAAGGCCCAGATCTTCCGATATGCGCCTCTCCCCGAGGATCTTCACACTGTGTCCAATTGGAGTGGAACTCACGAGGTTCATACGAGAGTGTTTCACCAGCCGGATAATTTGGAGCAGCTTCAGGAAGTGGTGAAGGAGGCTAATGTGAAGAAGGCTAGGATTCGGCCTGTTGGGTCGGGGCTTTCGCCTAATGGGATTGGACTGTCGAGGATGGGAATGGTGAACTTGGCGTTGATGGATAAGGTTTTGGAAGTGGATAAGGAGAAGAAGAGGGTTAGGGTTCAGGCGGGAATAAGGGTTCAGCAGCTTGTCGATGGAATCAAGGAGTATGGGCTTACTTTGCAGAATTTTGCTTCGATCAGGGAGCAGCAGATCGGTGGCATCATTCAGGTTATTTTATGAGGATTTCTGTGGTTTTGATGTTGTTCAATTGCTAATTGAAGTACTATGTTGGATTGTCTGCTGCATTTGATCAATTTGAACACTTGAACTTCAATGCCATGGCTGTATGTTGGATGAATATGAGTAGTTGTCTGTCCAGGGCTGTAAATTAGTTTGTTTGCAGTGAAGAAATTTGATCTTGCTAGCTTCCCATCTATTTTGATTGGTTTGTATTTTGTATTTTGTATTTCTCCTTGTAATAGAATTGTCATGGATATGATTTCAATGGCTGGTCGAGCTTAGAAGTAGTGCTAGTACCATTCAAGAGGTGAATTTTGAGACAAAATATATCTCGTTCGAAAGAGAAACAATCAAATTGTTGCCACACGTAGCGTATTAAGTGAACATTTATCGATTAGATTTGTTATTTTTCATTAGATATTTTGCGTAATTGGATTACCTTTTTATTTTACTTTGACTCCTTTTGGTTGGGGCTTTGTTTTTGTATTCACGTTGTACGGGGTAATAATCCACCTTTTGCGGGATTATTCTAGGGAAGAGAACGAAAATAGGCTGTGGATGGTGGTCGTGGTAGGTTCGAGGATTTTCTATTTGTCCTCAACAAAAGTTAGGATATTCATAAAAAAGATTGATTATTTAGGTGGCAATAACATGTGGGATGAGATGAAAGATTGGTGGTTTTTATTCTTTATGAGAAGTCTTTTTTAGTCTCCTTTGACTTTGTAACTAAAAGAACATATCATCCTGTCTTTTGGTTTCTTTAATGAATTGTTTCCAAACCTCCTCTCCACAAGGTGGAGATCCTGATATTGCATGTAATATGACATTTTGATTGTCATGTTTTTTCTTGAGCTAAGCCGATTATGCTTCTAGGTCGGTGCACATGGTACTGGTGCAAAATTGCCTCCCATTGATGAGCAGGTTATTGCTATGAAATTGGTCACGCCAGCCAAGGGTACTATAGAGATTTCCAAAGAGAAAGATCCTGAGCTTTTTTATCTAGCTCGCTGTGGTCTTGGCGGCCTTGGAGTCGTCGCTGAAGTAACCCTCCAGTGCGTTGAGAGACAGGAACTTGTGGAACACACGTATATTTCGAACATGAAAGACATCAAGAAGAACCACAAGTAATTATGTACTTTTTGATTCTGAATTTTATGCCATTCTATAGTATGTTGCATACTACAGTTAGAAATGATAGTGTATTGTGATAATCTAGAATTTGAAGACTAAATTTGAGTTATTTTGTCGGTGAACCGTCTAAGTTCTGAAATTCTCTCGCTTTGCAGGAAATTGTTGGCTGACAATAAGCATGTGAAATATCTGTATATTCCTTACACCGATGCCATTGTTGTTGTGACTTGCAATCCTATCTCAAAATGGAGAGGTCCTCCCAAATTTCAACCGAAATATACTAGTGATGAAGCCATACAGCATGTTCGTGATCTCTATGTAGAATCTCTTAAAAAATACAGGTTAGTGCCATGGTCTGTTTGAGCATTTCGTTATCCATGATTTTAGGATGTCGGGAATGGGTTGAAATGAAGATAGTTAATATTTATCATTGTGAGATCCCACATCCATTAGGGAGGAGAACGAAACATTCTTTATAAGGGTGTGAAAACCTCTCCCTAGCAGACTTGTTTTAAAAACTTCGAGGGGAACCCCGAAAGGGAAAGCCCAAAGAGGACAATATCTGCTATAGCAGTGGGCTTGCCTTGTTACAAATGGTATTAGAGCCAAACACTATGCAATGTGCCAGCGAGGAGGTTGAGCTCCGAAGGGGGTGGATTGAGGAGGTGTCACACATCGATTGGAGAAGGGAACGAGTGCCAACGAGGATGATGAGCCCCGAAGGGGGGTGGATTGTGAGATCCCGTATTAGTTGGGGAGGAGAATGAAACGTTCTTTATATGGGTGTAGAACCCTTTCCCTAGCAGACGCATTTTCAAAACCTTGAGGGGAAGCTCGAAAGGGAAAACCCAAAAAAGACAATATCTGTTAGCGGTGGGGTGAGCTTGGACGGTTACATTTATCCTCTTAAATCACGTTCTATTCCTTTGTTTTGGTTACTCCTTGTCTTTTGGTTGATATTCATTTTTTTTTATCATGAACTTAAAATTTTGTTCGAAGTAGTATTCATTTCATCTGATTGCTTGCTTGATAATTGCAGTGCTAGTGATGAAAGAGATATAAATGAGTTTTCATTTACTGAGTTGCGTGACAAACTACTTGCCCTTGATCCTCTGAACAAAGAGCATGTTGTGAAAGTCAATCAAGCAGAGGCTGAATTCTGGTGGAAGTCGGAAGGATACCGAGTCGGATGGAGTGACGAAATTTTAGGTTTTGATTGTGGTGGCCAACAATGGGTCTCCGAGACTTGTTTTCCTGCTGGTACTCTTGCAAAACCTAACATGAAGGACATTGAA